AAAATGAATTACCATTTGAAGTAAAGTATGAAAATATGCTAGATTATGAATCTATTATTTCTATCAGTTGTAAAATCGATGAGAATCAAATAAGTTATTTTCTATCTATTCCTATAGATTATCCTGAACATTTCGATCTTTATTATATGTTACCCATACCGACTCTGATGCACAAATCAGAATTCGTCACTATTATCCCAAATTATAAGTATTTGCTAAAATCTGATCGAAATGAGATCAAACCCCTGCACGAGATTTGTACCCAAGGTAGAATCTATCAATGCCCTAATCGTATATTAGCCAATCACAAAGCCCAATGCGAGAAGTCAATAATTACTGAAGATCATACAGAACCATGTAGATACACGAAGCTTCAGATTGAAGAAAATCACATCGAATTTATTCCCGAAATTAACCAGTATTTAGCTGTATTTCTCACCGAAGAAAAATTGAAAATTAAATGCAAGGAACAAATCGATACAAAGTCATTACTTGGCATTTTCTTAGTCAAAGCCAGTGAATGCCAAATATCATTCCAAGACAGTGAACTTATCTTTCAAGACAAAACCTATGGAAAGCCCCTCGTAGCTGACAAAATGGATTTCCATTTTATGAAACAAAATATCCCAGAGACACAAATTACTCTGAAAACGTTAAATTTACCAGAATTACAAGTTAATCGAATGTTACCAATTTTAGAAGAAAATTCCATAGAAAATTTTGGAAAACCCAGTATTTGGACCATATTACTATATCTCGTATTTTCAAGCATCTGCTGCATAATTTTATATAGAAGATGGAGAAACAAGAAAGCATCCAAGTTAGAAATCGACATTGAATTAGCCGAGATGAAAGAAGAAGGTCCAAGTCCCACAAAACGCACTAGAAGAGAAGATTCCAGTTCAAGATATAAGAAGAAAGAAATTCACCTTCCAGGGGAAGCTTCATTCTAGGGGTGGAGGAGTTATGTACCAGTCTACAGAGAAGAATATGCTGAACAAGGACTTTTGCCTCCACGTTCCTTTCTTATCAGTTACAGTATTGTATTTCATTTGTTCTTTACTTTGGTTTGTATAATGAACTTTGCAGTCAGTCTCGATTCAGAACTCATTCAATTAACATCATTGTATTTGGTCTTTCTCAAAAATAAATCTTTTTAAAAACGTTTTCGTTGAAGAAAGATATTTGAGTTGTATAAGTGAGTATTATGCTACAACGAATTATATATACAGGTTGGTGTATTAATAAAACAAGTTAAAAAAGAAATACAGCGCAATATTAATTTGTCTATATACTTTTGTCCATTACTGTATATTATAAATTCAGGATTTGCCAAGAACTTAGACCAGGGGATAGCAAGTGGTACACATGAACGTGTGAAGATTTTAATTTCCGTTCAAAAATAATATGGGCCGACGAGAGTATGGTTACTAATAATGGTATCTTTAATCACCGCAGCCCTCATAACTGGGCTCAAGAAAATCTGCTGGCTAAAAAAATATCCAGACAGAAGAACGTTTTGGCTTTAATATGTCGTGTGAAATTCTATGGACTAAAATATTAGGTCCATTTATTTACCACAACTCAATTAACTGCAGGACGGTACCTTCATTTGTTGCAACATAACCTAGAAGACTGCCTGCACAGGTTAATAGCTGTCGGTTTTAACAAGAAGGTGGATTGGAACCCCCAGTGATGTATGCTGGCCAGCGCGTTCCCCCGATTTAACTCCTCTAGACTTTTTTGTTTAATTGAAAATCAACTTTTAGCATTTAGTATGATTAAATAATGGCAACTTATTTGAAGAGCTATTGTGAATAAAATAAAAATAATGTTAAAAATGCATTCGATATTCATTCACTAAACAGGTGCTATCAGATGCAGGGTGTACGTTTTTCGGAAAAGGTTGATAAAGGTTTCTTAAAAATAAAACGTCATGCACAAAATTCAGAAACACCATCATATAGTGCCTAAAAAGTGCCAATGAACAAGTTGCATAAGTTTTTTGATATATCTTAAAATAAAGTCAGAAAAAAATAAAAACGATTTGAACAAATTTTAGTCTCTTCCAAATACCTCAATAAGCTATGAAATTTTTTCAAGTTTCTCAATGGCATGTAAATACGTCCCAAAGAACACAGCTTTTTCCTGATTTAACCTAAGCTGTATCTCCCAGAGGTATTTAAATCCCCGTGCATAGTTCCTTATCTTGGACACCCTGTATATGTTTTCGGATCTCTTTATCATACAGAGAATGAACATTACTTTCCTCACATCTGACAGAAGCCTACATCATGGCAGAAATAGGTGCTGATTCTAAGGATAGGGTGTGGAAAAACTGATTATGTCACAGTTTGGTGCGAAATTTTACGATTCATTCTTCCCACTTCAACGCGAGAACACTTACAATATACTCCTTGGAAGCAAAACATTATCTACCGTCTAAAAAACCTTGGAAAATATTTTATTCTGAAAATTGGCAAATCGTTGATTTTGATGCATAATGTCAGTTGGCCTTCCTATAGGTCGAATCCAACTTTTACATTCCTGATCTCAGATTTTTAAATGAAGATCAATGCTACAGTGCGAGCAGCATGCCTTCTCCGTGAGACATTTCATCTGTAAAATATTCTATTTATACCTGCAAGGCAAGTGGCTGATTAGCAGAACACGCACTGGAAGAAAAGTTTTTATCATAAGCATAAACAGAACACAAAGGTGAATTTTCTGAGATTATCTTTAGTCGCACGGCTTGATATTAGTGCAACAATTGATTTCTTGTGTTCACAAGGATCTTAGTCTTTGATGTCACAGTTTATTTTTATTTTGAATTTCGCATCATATTTCTTCAAAAATTTTATTGAATAAATGAATCTAGTAGATAAGAAATAAAAATCATCAGTAAACCCACTAAAATAGTATAGGTTTGACAAATTTTGTTAGAAATATTTATAACCTCTCTTACCTAGTTGCATTTTCTTCCTATAAGGAGTTACAGATGTGACATGACTGACGGTACGTTTGATCTTGGTTCCACCAACTCTTTGACAACTATGGTCCAATAATGTGTCGCCGTGGCAGTGATGGAAATCCTAACAAACTCAACGTATTCGATTTTAGACAGGCTTTCGTCTTTGTTAGCTCCCCTACCGGGAGAGAATTGCACGCCGCTGCCTTTATACGTTCTGTGTTTTCAGCCATTAGTTTTCTAGGCACCAATTTAAAGATGTTTCTTGCCACATAACACTTTATTTAGAACTATGGCAGTGTAAAAAAATTGGCATATGTTAATAGAACTATCTTTTGAGTGATGTACAGTAGCGGACAAAAGTTTAGAAACAAATAACATTATTATGAACTATTTCATATACCTAAATTAAAATTGTGAAGGAACAGATAATATAAATATTAAAGTCTACCTTTGGCTAACAGGTTTATCTTATAAATATTCAAATTCTATGACAATAAAAACAGGCGTTTTTTTTAATACCACAGTTTTTGTAACGACAAAGTATGGAAAAATTCCAGTTTTGCCGAATTTATTCGTTCTGCGATAGGTACTCTGATATTGCGTGCGGTAAATATTAACATCAGTGAGAATGGAAAAAGTAAAAGAATTTTCAAAAGATTTAAGAGACAAAATAATTGAATTATTTGGTAGCAGTGTCAGAAATGTTGACATTTCTCAAAGATCAAAAATGGGCAAAGGGACGATTTCGAAAATTATTAGTAAATATCAAGAATACGAAATCAACAGCAACGCGACCCAGGTGCGGAAGACCGAAAAAAAGAAAACGATTATGTGTTGGATCGCTACATTAAACGTTTGTCACATGAAGATCATCGAATGTCAGCCACACAAATTTTCAAAAGAATCGTAGAAGAGGGTGTCGAGAATCTTTCTGTCAGGACAGTGCAGAGACGCTTGGTGGATTTTGGGCTTTTTGGTAGGCATCCAGTGCAAAAGCCTCTCATTTAAAAAAAATCGTATTGCCGAATGTGCTAAAACTCATCCAACTTGGACATAACAACAATGGAATACAGTTTTATCGAGCGATGAAAGCAAATTTAACTTGTTCGGCTTATGTGAGACGTCCAATTAGAAAAAGATTCGGACAAAAAGTATCAGTTGCCAACAGTTAATCACGGTGGAGGCAACATCATGGTTTGGGACTATTTTTCTGCGTCTGGAACGGGTCCAAATGTTGAAGTTGTTGGGAAAATGGATCAAAAACTTTACAAATAAATTCTTAGTGAACATATACAGGTATACTCCCTTTTGAAGAAGAAATGCCTTTACGATGGACATTCCATCAAGACAGTGATACACTTCTGTAAAAAATTGGTGTCTTCTATGAGCAGCAGATGTCAGGCAGTGTTGAATGGTAAAGGCTATGCTACCAAATATTAGCTAAACAGTATTTTTTTAAATCTTTATGTAGAGTTATTGTATTTAATTTTTTAATAAAAAATATGCTTTCATAATTTTGTCGTCTCATTTTTGGTCATAAAATAATATGAAGGTATTTTAATACTAGTCTGTAGTACTACAGCAAACGCAAATTGTCATTTGTATCCTCAAGACTGTAAGCAAACTTTATGAGAAAAAAATATTCCTTAAGTTGTCCGAAACATTTTGAAAATCATTTATTATTAATTCATTATATATGGAAGTAGATTAACACCTTAAATAAAAGTAGTTACCTGTTTCGCGTCGTCGAAGAGGTCGAAGTTTAATATTTTTGAACTTAGAAGCACCTTTGAAGTGTCAACTTGTCAAGCACGTATGACACAGAACAACAGAACATGAATTAAGAATTTTATCCAGCTGCTGATGTCGCCATTTAGCGTGAGGTGCATGGTACTTTTGTCCATTTTAGTCCATTAAACATGTCCTCCTTGTTCTTGCATCATCAAGGCATGTTGCTCACACTATATTGAACTCTTGAATGCTCCATGTTGATATTGTTGACGTGAATATGTACATGGTGTCTAAACAGCAACGTTTCCCCCACGTCTTCGTCGCCGATGCACAGCGGGTCTCCGGCATCTCCGACGTCCGTATCATCTTCGGTGATGTCCGGCCATTCTGTGGGCTCGAGCAAAGGGAGACCGGCCACCTCCACGGGAGGGTATTCCGCAACGGGGGGCAGCTTCACAAACGGCCCCCCGTCACAGCCGGTAACATTAGAGTATAGCGTCTCGGAAGCGATATCGAATATTTCCAGGTACGAGCTACAGTTCCTGCGATGAATGCCGTATGCTTGCAGATTAGTGAATTTGTTGTAGTGGAAGCTTGTAGTTAATCTTAAGTATGACTAGTTAATTCGCAGAAACATCTACACTTTCAGTAAGGTTTTGTCTGCGATTCTTTTGGTCAATCTCATGCTCGCTCTTCACAATTGGCGAATATTCCCCAGGCCAACGCGTAGAGGCTAGAGCTGTCAATCGAGCAGGCAGCCTGACAGACGCGAACATACTAAAAAGCTAACATGGCTGATTTACAGATTTACTCGCATTCCAAAACGGAAGAGAGTAACATAACACGTCGCACGCCACTGCTAGCGTCATCGACGATATATAGACACTGCCGTTCATTCATGATTATACATTTGTTTATTTTCCGTCATAGCTTGAAATCCAGGGGGGCAGAAACTACTGGTGGGGAAACAAAATGGCTGCTACGGTGGAAAGAATGACATCTCAATCCACTGATCGCTATGTATCATAATGAAAATACCACCGCATTCACATATCAAATTTTGGGAACTGATGTTCTTTCTCGTCCCCCAGAAGAGATACCTATACAGTTCTTCCCACAGGTTCAGTTGGCATCCTAAAAGAATAACGGAAGTGTTTTAAATATAAATTTGACATTAAAATACACATTTTGAGTAAAATATAAAAGATAAGCCCTATGCTTCATGCTGCTGCAACAAAAAAATAGTTTAAAAGCACAACAACACCATTTGCACGACGATGCAGAAACACAACAAATGCAAATTATGGATGAAACTACTCACTCGAAGGTATAGTGACGACCCTACGTTGCCAAAGTTCACGCAAAGTCTTGGACATATGTGCACTATTCTTGCAACTGTTTACGATATTCGCACGAACACTATTTCAGATTAGTAAACATAACAACAACATCCCAATGTCTGAAATGGAAATTTTGTAAACATATGTCTAATCTCTATCGTCGGTGGCTATCGCGGCGTGAATTTAATCGGCGAAATTAACAGAATTGTACTATGTGTTTTGCTACTGTCTTCCGTTTCTGTACTAGGTTATAGTAGATGGAGAGCAGCACGGTGGTCTTGGCTCACTAGTCAAGATACAACCTTAAGATCCTTGCACTAGTAGATGTTTCCAGTCATCTACTTCCAGCTTAAGTTTAGAGCTGTTATTCAAGAACAGTAGGTAATAGAAGATACAGGTTCAACAGTGATTCAGCGATAAACATTAAAGTATATTGAAGGGAAAAATGTTGGTCACTGTCAGGATTGTCTAAAAGGGACACAACCAGAGTTCCAAAGTCAAATAGCGCCTCAGACTTTTTCTGAAACCGTAGGATACTCTTAGAATTGACTGGTCATTCGTAGGGTCTACTATGCTTCAGTCTATGCCTAGACATATAGGAGATTTTGATGATCTTGGATGGATATTTTTTCTGCAAAATTATCTGATGGTTGTATCACGTAGAAACCGCACGTCGCATTGTCATCATAGAACGATCGCAAAGCTTTTGTTGCACGCTTTTGTTAGCTCTCCAGGCTCCATTGGATATGCTTTTTTATTTGTATTGGAAATGATCTTTTTCTGCAAGAATCACACGAAATTGTCAGACCTTATCTTTTTTTCCATAAGTGTTTTAATATAATCAATGAGCTGTTTATTCGAATGAAAACTAGAAGTAGATGGGAAGGAAATTGTCATCTTTGTCTGTTTATAACTTTGGGCATGACCTAACTTTCGCCACCTACTTCTAGCTTTCCTAATTAACCCCTCCCCCTTCCCCATAGCGTTATATGATTTCTAGATTCGGGAAAGTTAAGAAGTGTAAGGTCCGTTCGGCTGACCTCCCTGAAGGTCTACCCTTAATGCAGTCATTTGTATAAAGATCAATGTCGTGCTCACTGTATAAAAATTCCACTTAGCTTCATTTTTGTACCGACTTGTAGCTTAAGAATGATATTGGTTGAGCTATTTCTTTATTTTGCTTAGATGTTTTTTATTTTTTGTACATCATATATCAGATACTACCATAAAAATGTATAACGTGTATATACAGGGTCTCAACCGTGGAAGGACGGAATATTGATCCTAAACAAAAAGATTGCAAAGAAAACTATTTATGGATCATTATATATGGTATCTGGAAGCATATTTCTATAATATTCACAATTATACAGTGTACCAATTATTTTGACCCACATAATATGAAAGTTGATTTTTCTTAAATGGAATGCCCTACTTTTTATTACACACTCAAGACAAGATTTATATAACATGCTTATGGGTTTTGGTTATTAGTTGTTGAATTAATAGGTATTTTATATAAATAACATCAAAGTTTCACCGTCTGCATATCTGCTATGTTGACAAGTGATGTCGTGAATTTTATGTAATTTTTTTTATTGTACTCAAATAGCCCAATTCAATCATTTTTCGATTTTTTTGAATGATCAATACAAAAACGCAAAATGTACTTTTTCGGGACATTAAATGATTTTTTTTAAATATAAGGTTTCTACCAGTTTGGACAAATGGTTTCTGCGTTATAGCTGTTTGTTTCAAATAATTGGATATTTCTCTATTCAAACAAGTCACATCATGAGGCTTTCATCAAGCAACCAAGTAATGCAATGCAATTGTGTTGTAATTCATTATTCTAGGTTGATATTGTAATATAAAATTAGTTTTTTAAGATGTCTGAAAATGATACTTTTAACTAAGATTTAAACTATTTTTACTACTATAGAACATGTCCCTTTGATATTGAACACTCAATCGAAGACTATGAAGATATGAAGCAGAGAATACAAGAAGCGTTTCTAAATATTAGCGAACACACGCTAGAATGTGTCAAACAAACATTCATTCGAAGACTCCGATTGTGTTCAACATTGTAGAACATTTTTGAACATTTACGATAGTAGTACAAATAGAATTTTAGGTATGTTTACTCATAGCCGACATTTTCGGACATTTAAAAAATAAATTTTATATTACAACATCAATATGTAATAATCAATTACAACACAAAAACATTGTATTACTTTATTTCTAGATGAAAGCCTAATTTTATATACAGATCTTCAATAATCCTTTACTTGTTTTTTGTTTCCGTGGATGATGTGACTTGTTTGAATAGGTAAATGTCTATTTTTTTAAAACGCAGAAACCGTTTGAACAAACGGACAAACTAATAGCAACCTTATATTAAAAAAGCTGATGAAAATGGGGAATAGGATAATGCAAAAATATACAGGGTGCTCCATTTAATTCTGTCGCGAAACAGTACATTTTGCGTTTTTGTCCACCCTGTATTTATCATTCAAAAAAATCGAAAAATGGATGAATTATACTAGAAAATATTTTTGACACAAAACTCACAACACCAACTATCACGGTACGCAGGTACGCAGACTATCAAACTATGATTTTTTTTTAGGTAAAATAATATCTAATAGTCCAACAACTAATTATCAAAACCCATAAATATGTGCATCAATCTCCTTCTTTTAAAAGGGTCTATCGGAATACGTAATAAAAAGTGGGGCATTCCATTAAAAAAAAGAACTTTGATATATGGATCATAATCTGGACACTCTGTATAATTATTATTTTAGAAATATGCTTCCAGACCCCATAGGGAATAAATAATCTATAAATATGTAGTTTTCTTTGAACAGTTTTTGTTTAGTAGCAATACTTCGTCCTCGTACGGTTGGGACACTGTATAAATTCATTGTACTCATGTAGCTTAGTGGATTTGTCTCAACTTTTATGCTAGCTTTCCGCCAGGGTCCTAATATGCGTGCGCCTTATTGCGCGTAACAGTTGCACTTGACAATGTTTGATATATGGGTGTATCAGATCTCAGTGGTGATGTTTACATAGCGAGTAGCTAACCACAGGACCGTGCGTTAATACAGCACCCAAAGAATAGCGCAACATCTGACCGTTTGAACTACGCGCTAAGCTAAGCCTTTAACGCAACACCAATGACCACATTTATGTCATGATCACTAATGCTGCTCTAAAGGGCCATATCGTCAGTCGTTCCTACAATTGTAGGACGCCTTTATCGCCTTCTTGACTTTCGTAGTTTTGTACCGGTCCGTGTCAGCACTATTTTGAGGTTATGTCACAAATATATATTTGCATCAAATTGTCAATGCTTTTGATTTATATCATCCTGATATTTCCTACAATTAAAAAAGAAAACAACTTCACAATAGGAGAGCCCTGACGCTGACACGGAACAGGTGAAATCTAGAAATGCCCTTGCCTTTCTGAAGGAGAGAAAAGACTATGACAATCAAGCAGGCCATAAATGCGTCCTAGTTATTATTGTAGGAACGACTGAAGATACGGCCCTAAGCCATTGTATAGCTTACGGTGTGAATGAACTAGTGTTGCGCCATCTCTTGACACAGAGTGGAGTTACCGCACGGATTAGCACAGTTCTGTGGTAATTTAACCAGTGTCATTTGTTTTTCAGTCCGGACTACAGGGACGATGATGACAGCGTGATGCGCGACTGCGTGATGGAGATCAGTGATCACAGTGACAGTGATAGCACGTTGCTAGTCTCCGAACCTAGACAGAACAAGCGGGGTAGCAGCGGAAGCAAAGAGGACCATCGGATTGTGATACAGGTGAAAGGGCCCCACAACAGTGTCGGTGCCGGGGGTGACAAAGACAGCAGGGGGTTCGGATTCGCTTCAGCTACTAGTACTCAGGTAGTTGTGTTGGCGGTTGTCAACCTAACAACGATGCACACTATGGTACAATGAAGCAACTGGTATGCTGTCTTGGCGTGACCTTTTAACAACTCTAACGTTCATACAGATCTCTTGAAGTTTAGATGATCATCCAGACACTTGTGTTTGATCTTCAAGCGGCCTTCAGTGATTTCAAAAGCATAATATTAGAAATTAAATGTCAATTCTCTTCATTTCCGGGGTCCATGGCAGTATGAAATCACCATGAAAGGTTTATACAACATTCGTACGTAATTCATAAAAAAATGTATTCATGTTATTTAGATCGTTAAGTTTCTTTGCAATGTTTTAACTTAAAATACTATAAGTAAGATAAAGTGAAGTTGCAATTTGCAGCTAAAATGAGTGAACTGATTGTTGCGGAATTATCTAGAACGAAACATTTCTTTACGTCGGGTAGAGCTAGACTGAAGGATACTTTTAATAATTTATCATTCGTTATAAATTTTGATCATAGTCTTTGGTAGATTTTGCTGTTCTATGACACTCTTCTACCCAATCTGTATAGTACTACGATCTCATAATTTTCGCGTTCACAGAACATAGTTCTGAACAAGCGGTCTCTCCATTTGATGTTACTAGTTTGATCCAGAGATAAGGTTCAAAAGCTCCAGCCACTAGAGGATGCGAGGCGGAACCCGGCAACACCGCTGCGCGCGATTGTTTCCCCACTCTCGATACCCCCGGCTGTGCTTCGCGGCGTCTCTCAATCTTGGCTCAGCGGCCGTCCAAAATGGAAGTTCCTAGTGTTGTCGCCTAGTGCGAAATTCGTTTTATGCACGACGTCTGATGACAGGTGTTTGTCCGTCAGTGGTCAGAGGTTAGTGCCGATCGGAAGTCCAAGATAAAGAGCAGAGTGGACGACTGACAGTCTCGCAGGTACTTATGGAGATGGTTGCATGCGAAATGGATCACCGTCTGTGAACTCCCAGGAATCTGAAAAACAAGATCACGGACGGTGATTGCTCTGTTTTGAAGCACTTCATGTTGGACTTCCTTCCGACTGGTACAAAATTCCCTGCACCACTTTCGGAAGTATTGAACGGACATACAGTTGTCGCAATACACCTCTGTCAACTGGCGATGAATGTGCACGGGTGGAGTCCCTTTGGCGGCAAAAATGGAGTTAAGGAGCTAATCTTACAATTCTCAAAATGGGAAGCTTGAATGAAGAATGAGCGACACAAAGAAGCGCCGCTGGAGGGATCGAGAATGGGGAAAAAGCCATGTGGCTCTTTGTGAACCTTATTTCTGGGTCGACCCTCGTACATATCTCAGTAGGGATTTATTGATAATCACGATAGAATGTATGTTAACGTTATTTTATTAAAAATGTCCATAGGCAAATCATCGAGATTTGAATATCAAAATAATGTTTTCGTATGCGGTGTAGTGATGTGTCGCAATGAATGCGACCAATATGTTGAAATAGCCTATTTGGCAGCAAAACAGTTGTTTCCTCACTTGTACCATGTACCACGTCTACAGTCTACACTCACGTTTCTCAACTATCCGAATCTTATCGCTTCTTTGCACTAACCGTATATCGTCAACTAACATTTTTTTTATATTTAACTATTTTTTTTTCTAATTGGTCCAGTTTCTTGAACAGAGAAATAATCTTCCGAAAAATGTTGTCATTCAATCTGTAAAAAAATTATCAAGAAACTCGAGCCCAAGAATTGGATACCTCAGCTCAGGAAGGTAACCTCGATCTTCAGAACGCATAACGTTAACATCTTATTCGCTTAGCGATTCGAAAACGCTATTGTGATTCGAAAAAGGAGGCTTTCGTCTCTAGTACAGGATGTATTTTTGCATGTGGTCGGAAAAATATATTTACACATTTTTTTGCATAATTTTATTTAAAAAGGATCCCTTTTAACGAATCTTCAGGTTTCCAGGCCCAATAATTGTTTTTTCGCTCCAAACAAGTTTTTTTAGGTTTTTGAGTTGTTCTGAGCAGAAAAGGTGTTTATGAACTTTTCGAAAATAATATTTGAAAAATGACGAAATATGCCATTTCCGATCTCGAAAACGCTATAAAAAACGGGAATTTTACTGTTGCCAGAGCTCGAAAATATTCTTCTAACATTCATTAACAAAATCCCAGTATTTTAGGAGGTATTGTTATTGTAAACCTTTGTTGTTTAATTGTTAATCCAGCTCGCGCTCAATGTATACTCCGCGTGAGCGCGAGAGATGCAGGATTGAGGCGGCCGAAATGGAGCGTAAAATTTGAAGTATAGGTTCTGTGAATGCTAAAAATTTAGAAATTCAAATAAATATTTTTGATATTACTATGTCTACAACACGTAAATCCATGTGAGGACATAATAAGTAATGTTACTATATTTTTTTAAAATCGTTTAAATGGCAACGATGTTATGAGCAAAAATTAAAATAGCTTTCAGACCGTTCCAAAGTTTGTTTTCAGCTTTACAACTTTCTTGAAGTTGTTAAGGGATATCAAACATCATTAGGTTATTTTGAAAATTTATTTTCAATATTTCTGATTGCTTCAGTTTAGGGCATATTAAGCTCAAACATTGTTTCTTTAGCAAGGCTTATCTTAACTCGTGGAAAATTTGAAAATAGGCACAGTTGAATGCTTGGAAAGTACCGAGTTAATCTACTTCCCACTATTTTTTCCGGAGGTAAAAAGTAAACCGTCCATAGCTGAAAACGATTGTAGTGTTTCGAAATTTTCAGCCTCCGAAGACATGCTTGATGGTAAAAGTTTCCTAGAATTCCTAAGGTATTTTAATAACCATTTAGATTCAAAAACAGGAAGCATGCTGCTATCACCTAGCCGTACAATCTGAGGTTTATCGGTTGAAAATTTTTAATTTAGCGTACGAACTAAAAGCTGGCGTCAGATTGTGAAAAACAGTCCACGCTACGCTGCCCCCCTTGTAAGCTGGGGGCCCCGTATCGTTGATGCGGCGGTAGCTACGCGATTGGGCTGGGCATATTTTCCAAATATTAAATCGCTGATATCTTGAATACCATCAGTTTTAGACAAAAGTTCATGAGAACCTTTTTTTGTTCAGAATGACACGGAAAACTTAAAAAACCATTTTTGGATTTTTTTATTTGTTTGAACAACCTTTGACGCAAGGTTGGGCTCGGCAACATGCAGATTCGTTAAAAAAATCTTTTCGAGCAATATTATGCAAACTAAGCGAACCAAAATATCAAGATATGTCCTGGACTGCTCACATCTTTAACCTGGGTATTTGTGTGTACTTAGTTTTAACATACCACCCAGTATTTTGAAAGTTCAAAATACCAGATATGTATTTTCATGATTTTTGGCGTTACGTCACAGTAGCATAGGAAATAAGTAAACACATGTGCGGAACTTAACTGGGGAAATTGTACACTGCCCAAACCAAACTCCACTACAGCTAGGGTTGCCATCCGTCCGGCTTTTTGTGGGCCTGGCTGGCCAAATTCTTACAGGGCTTGTCCGGAAAGTAATAGGACTGAGTCGATTTAAAAAAATTTATTGAGCCAATCGTTACAATTCTTTAAAAACTTTCAAAATAGGCTCCTTCTGCGTCAATGCAGCGTTACCAGCGCGATTTCCAAGCTTTGAAGGCGTCACGGAAGGCATCACGGAATAGCCTTGAGAGCCGCGGTGCATGCTGCTTGGATCCCCTCTGGCGTCTCAAAATGCTTGCCTTTCATCGGCCTTTTCAGGCGAGGAAACAAAAAAAGTCCGGGGGGCCACATCTGGGCTGTAGGGCGGCTGCGGAAGCGTTGGGATGCCGGCCTTGGTCAGGTAGCTGTTCACAAGAAAGGCGGTGTGAGCCGGGGCGTTGTTGTGGTGCAACTTCCAGTCGGCTGCGATGTCTTGTCGGACCCGGCTGACCCTTCGTTTGAGTCTCCTGAGTACTTCCACGTAAAACTTGGCGTTGACGGTTTGTCCAGGAGGAACAAATTCATGGTAGACGATGCCTTTGATGTCAAAAAAGACAATGAGCATCGTTTTCACTTTGGATTTGCTCATTCTTCCCTTTTTTGGGCGAGGAGATGCCGTCGTGTGCCACTCGGAAGATTGTCTCTTTGTCTCGGGATCATACTCAAAGATCCACGACTCGTCACCTGTGATTACGTTATTCAAAAATTGGGGGTCACTTTCACACATGTTCAAATTTTCTTGGCACACTTCCACTCGCCGCAATTTCTGGTCGTCAGTGAGCACTTTTGGGACCATTTTCGCGCACACCTTGCGCATCTTCAAATGCTGTGTCACAATGTCATGAACTACAGATTTTGGTAAATTTAACATCTGGGCAATTAAACGAATACTTAGTCGACGGTCTGAGTTCAAAACTTTGCGCACACGAGTCACATTATCGGTGTTTGTCGAAGTCGAAGGTCTTCCAGCACGGTCTTCATCAGCGACCTCTTCCCGGCCCTCCAAAAAGGCCTGGTGCCGCCGAAACACACCACTTCTTGCTAAAGCAACACCTGGGTAACCCTGCTTGATCATATCAAACATCTCTGTCGCAGATTTACCGAGTTTCACACAGAATTTAATCGCTCTAACGAACACTGCATTTTCGGCTTGCACCACTCACAGAAATACGTCGCGCGAAAATGCTTGTCCTGACTCTCCAAGTGCTCGGAGACAACTGACTAGCCGCTCATTCGTTAGCTAGGAACGCCCTCTACCGAATCCAGTCGGTGCGCGCACGCTCCGAAGTACAGTCATGGCGGAAGAAAATGAGTCCTATTACTTTCCGGACAAACCCTGTATGCGTCTGACCTGTCCAGCTTTTGGTAGGCTTTTTGATATACGCGGTATTTGCAGATCGACTAGCCGTGACCCCCCTGAATCAAAGGCTGAATCCGTCGTTGTGTTCGCCTTTATACAAGTTATCTTTGGCTATTAAAGAAGATAATATCCGGCTTTGACGACCAAATGCTTAGCCAAAACCAGCGCCAAGTCCAGCTTTGGCATTGTAGCAGATGCTCTTGTATACATAAAATGAGCAATAAAGTATTGTTGCTCTCATTCTCTTTCTAAAAATATTCCCAAGAAATTTGGCAAACACGGTCGATATTGGAATTGCTATGTTTTATATTACGAATATCAGCAAAAGGTAAACTCATATCTCATGCCCATGACAAGTGGGTTGCCACATTGACAGTGACAAGCATACATGAGAAATATGTTGCGTTCCTTTTGCAAGTGAAGTGAGACAAACAGACATGAGATTGTCAAATCTGATGACTGACTCACTTGTGGAAGAAATCTCATTACATTTAAACTGATATTTCGGAAAACGAGCGTGCAATAAACTGAAGTGAGGTGAGCTTATCTGAGATTGTGTGTAAATCGAACGCAACTGTACTGACACGTTAGTGAGAAAATTTTCGAGGTGGCGAGACGAGACTAAAGGACAAATATCTGTGACCTTACATAAACAAACGTCCGCGCACAGAGGCAGATCGCAGATGTATCTGTAAGGGAGATGGATGTATAAAAGTAATACCGATAGTACTGTGACCCGCTAAAAATCGTAAAAAGAACTTCAATAGTGGTGGCGGGTAGCGTAGATCTGCATGTTGGGTGAAACCCCCTGTATTTCTGTTTCTATTGACAGCACTATGTAGGTCAAGTTTCTTATTCAAGTCACATTCGTATTTCCCACATAAAGTTGCAATCAATTTGCTATTTCCATCTTGAAGAATTGACCATATTCATTGCTTGAACTGAAATTATACAGTATCCGATGATTTCAGGTAAATAAAATACTTGTTACACTTATTGAAAACACCGGGAAGTGTGTTACTTTATCGCAATTATGCTTTTTTATATGAGATATTTCCTCGAAATTCAACGATTTTTATTGTATAGTGGACAAATTTAGAATTTCTTTTGCTATAAACTCAAAGATCACAAAATTTATTTAACGAGGCTCAAGTCGTTGATAAAATATTTCCCAAATCTTCGTGCACACCACCACCGATATATCATATTTTGTTTCCATAAAGAGTAATCAACAGAAATCATAGATTTATCATCTTTTTTGCTAAATATCTCTTAAACTGTGCAGCGTCAAGCCACTCGTATCTCCTTTGATCTACGTAAATCCAAGTACGAATATCGACTCGTACTTGCCGTTTATTACATAAATTAAAAAAATGGCTGACGATAAAGATCTCTTGGAACAGATTCAAGTGAGGATGAAGAGAACCACAATTGACAAGTACATAGTTAAGTGTTAATAATTTTAATGAAGTTTTCTCATCATTTCAAGTCAATCAGTAGCTTAGTGTTAATTAAATTCTAATCAATTTCATCCTCTACTACTGTAGCAGAGCAAACTGATGAACTCTTCCAGCACCAAAAAAGCCAAAAGTTCCTACGATTTATTTGAGAAATATTTCATCAAGCTAAAAATCTCTTGTTAAATCTTCCATCTCGTTTTTGCATTTTTTTTGAACGAGTACGGCAAAACAGTCATGCAAATTTCACGGAAACTCGGTAATTTTTAATTTTACTTCAATTAGGGTGATGTTTACGACAACCAGCCATGTAATTCTCTGTTCCAACCAACGAATTTGAATAGATTAGAAGGAGGCAAGCGTATATGTTTACATTTCATTGTTTGTCACCAAATTTGCGTGAGATTCACAAATATCACTTCAAGGTCCCACGATGCTTGAGAAACCCTCATTAGTTATTTCGTGTTCTCATAGTGGCTGGGAAGCGACAGCTCACTTAAGGATCATTCACGGAATTTTTTTAGATTAATTTTCGTGTACTATCAAAGTTGTCACCTAGTTGGCAGTCATTATGAGCAAAATGGATTATGAAGGATTCCTAGAATTTATTGAGAACAACGAGAATGCTCAAACCATACAGCATACCACGGCTTCTTCAGTTTCGTGGATTTCCTTTAGATCATTGTCTGGGAGTTGTACAAATTTCTTATTTTTCGTATGGATACACAATAATAGGAATTTTTCATCAGGGCCGCGTTCGTAAATTGTTATAGAGTGTACTTTGTACTCTCTGTAACAAGTTTAGCGTTCGGAAATAGATCAAAGTACTCTTTCTGGAACGGCAAAAGTACGCTTCTCTTCCCGTGCTCAAAACCTTGGGAATAATAGTGATATCATTTGTCATTCTCATGGTTCATCGTTTGTTTACTTTATTATTTACTTTTATGTAAAGTTGAATTCGCAATATATATATTTTGCTCGATAAATATATTATTATAATAAAACATCGGTCGCGGAAACGTGATTAGAAATTAGCCGGCTGTCATCAAGTGTCATTTAGGTGTTTAAAAAATAAAGTTTTGCAGTATTCGAGGGTGAAATTTCATCAATCTACATTCCATTACTGTGTACGGTATTACATGACCATATGATTTACAAACGCATCCCAGCGTAACTTCAAACACAAAACCCTCGAGCGTGCATGTGAGTGACAATTAGGAATATGACTCTTATTGCATACTTTTGGCTCATTTGTCTACCAACACCTACCAACGTGACAGTGTGGCATCAACATACTAGTAATATTTACAGGTGGAAACATCCACCTTTATTAGGCTTGTCGCTCTTTGCAAATTATGTAAGAAGGCAATGTCTTGGAATAGTAGAACACCAAAATTATATGCAAACACTCGCATTTATAAAAAATAACACTATATATTAATTTAATGACAGCACTGTCTGAAAATCGACTTGTCAAATGCACTTTGATTCTCATTACAGACTTTAGGAATTAGAAGACACACAAATCCTTCATCAACTGTCTCATAGCTACTATTGCGGGTATAGATACAAATTAGAAAAGCAGACATTCAAAACGTCGGGCTGACAGTGGTTGCCTACAGACTGTTCAACGTGTGTAAAAGTTTACCAGCAGTCGATAGTTGTTGCCACTTTTGTGAATTGCTTCAAGTTAAATTATGACAGGTGGCAGGATGCCGCAGTAAATTAATTTGACTATTTTTTTCTCCACACAGCTACCTATTCTTTATATTGTTTATGAGCTTTGTAATAAGCTAAAAGAGGATTACCTCCCAACTTTACAGTAACATATTAATGCTGCTCAAGTGTCTGACCATTTTTAAATATTTCCATCATTATACGAGGTCTGTAAATTAAGAAGTGATGAGACTGGTTTTTTTATTTTTTTTTTATACTTAAACCATTACGAAGGTCTAAGGCCTATAGGGGGATACAGGGGAAAGGAGGGACGTCACACGGACTCTAGCGAGCTAACACAATGAGAGACAGTCTACCACCTACGGACAATCACAGCATCCATAGCCAAGAGAAAAATTTCTCTTGGGACGGGATTGGAACCCGCGCAGCGCACTACGCCAACTCTGCTGCCTAAATATAATTCAAATTACAATTTTATATTGGCACTCTCAAAATAACTTTCTTCTGAAGCCACACAGCGCTGGAGACGGTTCTTCTACTCCTCATAGCAGTTCTGGAACTCCGATACTGGCATAGCCCAGCTGGTCGATTACAGCCGTTTGAATATTTGCGAATGTCAAAAAATGAGTTCTCTTGAAATAATTTTTCAACTTCAGGAAGAGAAAAAAGTCAAAAAGTTTCATGTCAGGCGAATAAAGAGGCCGAGGGGCCACCGGGATGTTTTTACTGTTCGAAAACTCTTTTATTGTCATTGCTGTACTGTTGCATCCTGATGCAACACCCAGTTGTTCTTGATCTGATGAACGGTAGTGTGAGTTAAATTCAACTCTTCTGTGATCATTCTGAATGTCAACCGATGAACTGAACGCACAAGATCCAGTGGTTCTGTCGATATTTTCATCGGTTCTTGAAGATGAAGGCCTTCCGCTTCATGGTTCATCTTTAATCGACCCTCTCCCTCCTGAAAATGCCTCAAACAACCGAAAAACTTGGGCTCTTGGCAAAACACTTTCTCCGTAGGCCTGTTGAAGTTTAGCAAGAGTTTCCATTGCACTGTGCTTGGGTCTTCAGCAAAACCTGATATCACATCGTTACTTGAAATTGATGGCATTCATTTTTGGAACACAATAGGAAAAACTGTTTCACAAAAAATAGCTACGGACAACCAAAAATGACTCGAGCGAGTTCAAACTTATGCTGAAGCCGGATCACATGTTCCCCTGTCCCTCCACCAAGCCTAGTGCATCCTGTGTTGCCAGATCGAACGCTACGTTGCCAGTCTCATCACTTGATTTACAGGCCTCGTATGTGTTTATAAAATGAAATATGGGAAAACGTTACTACAACCAGAAAACACCTGTCTATAGGAATCAGGGCAAATATTTCACAATCGTTACGATGGTTTTTCTTAAAATGCTGAGGTAACGTTTTAGTGCGTTGCATGAGACATAGTCAGTTTGAAACTATTTTCATAAAAACCTTCTTTCAAATGGAAGCTAAAATTATAAATGAAAGTTCTTGATGAAACGGCCAATTTGACAATAATACAATGCTTTGAACAAATAAGATATACAGGCATTTCAATAAAATGTGACTCGAACTACATTAAATATTTTTCCGTAAGGCATAACATTTAAGCAGATACTATTGGACTGTTGTACTATGCTATGTCAGCGGATGTTGGATATTTCAGATTCAAGTTTATATCTGTTGAAGACTGAATATTTTCCAGGGCAATCAGGATCAAGATCTGCTAGAAACTGAGGACGAATGCGGTCGGGAGTTAGCCGGCAGCAATAACAACAGATCGTCGCCATTGTCTTCCGAGGACGAAAGTGACGTGGAGAGCTTGCACAGCTTCCACTATTCACCGAAAGCGGTCGACATGCCGTCGGCCATACGATTGGCCAAACGGCTGTACAGTCTCGATGGTTTCAAGAAGTCGGACGTATCTCGACATCTCAGTAAAAAGTAAGTTACAACCAGAAGACAAAATATTTCACTTCTATGAAAAGTGGTATAGTGAAGAAATTCTGCGTAACATAAATTTACTACAGAAAATATCACGAAATATGACGAAAAAGCTATGCAGGCTTTGACAATCTGTCGAGTGGTGAAGCTGCGGGCAAAAAACGGAAAAACAAAAATCGCTCAATCTCCTTTTTTGACTTTTCAGATCAGGACATCTTAACCTAAAATAAACATTTTCTTTTTCAGCAATGATTTCAGCAGGGCTGTGGCAGAGGAATACTTGAAGTATTTCGATTTCGAAAAGGACACGTTAGACATAGCTTTAAGAAAGTTCCTTAAGCAGTTTTCTCTTACGGGGGAAACGCAGGAGAGGGAAAGGGTACTTGTACATTTTTCTAAAAGGTACCTTGACTGCAATCCCGGATCTTTTAATTCTCAAGGTAAGGGAACACCTTTTCTTATATGCTTAGAATGTTCACTTTTGTGATGTTTATGTGTTACTGAAGTTTTTTCGCGAGTGATTTTGCTTTCTGTGTTTACATGCTTCACGTTATGATCTCTCGTATATCATTTTTCCAGCTGTTAATCCAATAAACACCGTTTTTACTGTTTTTAGTCTCATTTATTACTCTTACACTAATTCATACCTCTGCCATTCTATCGTCCTGGCGCCTATTTATCTTCAAAGCTGTCTGATCCAGAGTCTTCCAGCGCTTCATCAAAGTTCTAGATTATGTCGATCATTGCTTCTCGAACGCTCCGATTTCGGCCTCGATGGTACTGCAAGCTAAACCGCTCTTGGCGTAGCTCTGGTTCCCTCGGTATTGCGAGGACGGCTCATCCTTACTCAAGGTCCCAGTTACGAGGGCGTTATAATAGTGAAGTTATTTGTTGGACCGATCGACGGATTTTTCAACTCTTGTTTTTTTTTTGTAGATGCGGTTCACACGTTAACATGTGCCATTATGTTGCTCAACACTGATCTACATGGGCAGAACATCGGCCGCAAAATGACCTGTAACGAATTTATAGAAAATTTGGCTGGTCTGAACGAGTGCGAAAATTTCCCTAGGGAGGTTTTGAAGCAGCTGTACCACGCCATCAAGAATTATCCTCTAGAGTGGGCACTGTAAGTTTTCTTTTTATTCTTGGATCAGCGAAATTTCCTAATGATTTAAAAGGTATTTGATGAATATTCTTGTACTGTTCGTGACGTAGAAATTTACAAAAGCCTCTTGCTTGGCAAAAAGACATATTGAGACCTATGACTCTTGTATTTTATTACCCTGTGGATAAATAGTTATTTAGAATGGAAAAAATTTGCAGTGATGAGGAGAATGAAGATGGCAATGTGCAGTCACAGATGAGGAACAACGATGTGATCAACCTAGGTGGAAATCCATTCTTGGATGTGCCAATTTCCGCGAACGCCATAGAATACAAGAAAGGCTACGTGATGCGAAAATGCTGCTACGAGGCGAACGCTAAAAGAAGTGAGTCTTTATCTGAATGAGTCCGTGACATATTTTCATTATTTTTTGTATGCCTCCATTGGAGTATCTCCCATCCATTAAAAATGCTCCCTTTGTACAATTCAAATGGTAATTATGTATTTATTTTTGAGTGAAATTTCTGGGAATCTAAATTATTAAAAAAGATATCAATTCAACCCCCCAAATTTTTTATACCATAATAAAGTTTCTAAAAAGGATAACTGAAAACCGTAAAAATATACAGGTTGTTCCATTTGAATTTTTGGAGTATAAGTACAATTTCAGTACATCAGTGTGACCCGAAATTGTGGAATATGAAGCCTACTTTGACGAAAAGCTCTATCGGCCAAAGTGACTTGCTGTCAAACTTGACTATTTTTTTTTTCGAATAAAATACCCCGTAGCTCCTGAAATGACGATCCAAACCACTTCTACCTTTGAAGAGGCCTTCCAAGATATACTAAACTATACATATAACACATATGTTTGCCTATAATTTTTGTAAATATCTTTTTTAGATATATAGCTGTCGGCCGATCCCACACTGACAACTCACCTGGTATAATGTGAGTCGCCAATCAATGTTAATGTCAGTCTGGCGATACTCTTCAAATAAAAGTGATACGGGTTACGACTTCTCCAGTGTTTTATTGTTTATCGCAAGTTGGATATCATTGTTGGACGAATTTGTATAATAGGATATTGAATTACAGCAGGATTATATATCTTCTTTATTTACCACTAATTGTATTCCTTTGTGGAGATTGAAGGGATTATTTTCAAAATTTTCCATTCAAAACAGGAAATAACTGACCCATGTAAAAGTTCGAGAGGAAGGTTGAAAGGCAGTAATGTAAATGTTATGTTGTCATGCTAATGGTGCAATAAAGACATTATTATTATTATGATTATGTATGGGGCTGCGAGACATACTTATTTTCTGAGGAAATGTATATATTTTGCAAGACATTATTACAAAGTAATATTTAGCACTCACCGCCGGGCATAATTCCTGTTAGACGGTTTGAACAAGGTGTCAAGACCAATTTATTCGATAGCACTGATAGCCTGTGTACAAAATAGATATTGAATGATTTTTTTTTTATTAGACTTTAAAACTTTTGCAAGATCTGAAACTTATCCTGTGGTTTTCATGTCGATAATTCCCCATATTTCTCTGACCCATCGAAACCACATGTGTTAAAAGAATCTTGATTCTACCCGTTTCGCTCATAATGGTAACCGTGTTCAGTACTAGTAATATACTAAGTGACATATAAATCCGAACACCCAGTTTAAATGGTTTTATTTTAATAAAAGTTGGTGAATATATTTATCTTACTGTAAATAACAAGTGAAAAAATTTTCAGCCTTATCAGTTGGACATTCCGGTTTTTATACTGCTTTTTTTTAATTCACTAACGCTCTAAAAATGAATATTTCAGCCGCAGTAAAGAATCAACGTTGGCGGATTTTGATTCTTGACATCCTTTACGATCGGTTACGATGCCTAGAGTACGGAGACCTGTACGATTTCGTCAACTTAGTGAGTTTGATAGGGGCCGTATAGTGGGACTTCGGGAAGCTGGACTTTCTTTTCGGGCAATTGCAGTTAGAGTGCAAAGAAGTGTAGACACTGTGGTTAGGTGTTGTCAGGCATGGCTTCGAGAAGGCCGTACGCAAAGAGCAAGGGGCACTGGACGCCGCCGTAGAACAACAGACCGTGAAGATCGCCGCCTAAGATTATTGGCCTTAAAGGACCGTTTCTCCACTACTAAATGAATGGTTTGCAGAACACGGAAGACCTATTGGCATGCGAAGTGTTTACCGACGAATGAGAAGTTTTGGCTTGTCATACCGGCCACACTGGGCCCTCCCTTTAACTCGAGAACACCGACGTAATCGCCTTGAGTGGTGCAGACAACGGCCACTCTGGGATCAGGAATGGAACAGTATTGTCTTTAGTGACGAGTCTCGATTTTGTTTAGGCATGCACGATGGTCGTGCCAGGGTTAGAAGGCGACGTGGTGAAAGGAGGAATCCACAGTTTTTTGTTGAAAGACATGTTCATCACACTGTTGGAGCTATGGTTTGGGGTGCTATAGCTTATGGTTCCAGGTCACCTTTAATCTTCATCAGAGGTAACATGAACGCGCAGCATTACATCCACGAAGTTCTAGAACCCCATCTTTTACCCTATCTTGACACCCTGGCAGATCCAACTTTCCAACAAGATAATGCCCGACCACATGTTGCAAGAGTCACAATAGACTTCTTTCAACATAATGATGTCACATTGTTACCATGGCCACCAAGATCTCCCGACTTATCCCCAATTGAGCACGTGTGGGATATGATGGGTAGGAGATTGCTCAATTTGCAACGTCCTCCTCAGACTCTAGAAGCACTTCGAGAGGAGTTGGTGGTTGCCTGGAATGAGATACCACAGGAGGACATTGACCACCTGATCAGAGGCATGCCTAGGCGCGTTGGAGAATGCGTAGCACATCAGGGTGCATCCACACATTATTAAAGGTCAAAGGGCTTTAAAGCAGTGCAATCATTTTGAAATTTTTATCACTTATTATGTTTCATTAAGTACTTATACAAAATTTTATTAAAATAAAACCATTTAAACTGGGTGTTCGGATATATATGTCACTTAGTATATATTGTCAAAGTCATTGAACTGAAGGTTACCGTTGTGACTGAAACATTACAATAAAGATGTTTTCATCACGTGTGGTTTCGATTGGCCAGAGAAATATGCGGGATCATTTAAACCTTTTGTATAAAACATTTTTTTCTAAGCCATTATACAAACATGTAGGTTGGAGAGAGGAAGTATATATAAAAATTAGCCATCAGAATTTAAGCTAGTCTTATTGTTTCTTAACCTTGTTCACCTGGTGCTAGTAATATGTACGCGGTGCCCGGCTATAAATTGACCAATATAACTTTTTATATGACCTTCTAGAAGAAAAAGTTGTATATAAATGTTCTAATATGAAGTTTTTAATATATTTTTTTGTCTCAGAAAAGTGCTATCGTAAAATGTTGTATTTTTTAAAAGTATATTTTCTGTTAAAATGATAGTCCCTTTTTTCTGATTCCATACATATTGTTGTGTTGAACTTATTTTTATTACTTTGGTGAAAAACTTGAAGTTTGGTTGTATTCGGGTCCTACGAGGGCGGTCCAATAATTATTCCCACAATTCTGGAGGAGGGTGGGCCTAGGAGAAGAATAACAATCTTATACGACAGCCAGGCTGCAATGAATGCACTAAGTGCCTGTCAGATTACTTCGAGTCTTGTATTGCAATGCAGGGAGGCTCTGGATTGCCTCGCAGCGAGGCATCCGGTATCCTTAATGTAGGTACCGGGGCACGCTGGGATACGGGGCAATGAGACGGCGGACGCTCTGGCGAAGACATCGGCCAGCAAGCTCGTTGGTCCTGAGCCAGCTTTAGGAGTGCCCGCGCATGGAGTTAGGAGGAAAATGGAGACGGGGATTGCAAAACAACACTCAGAAATGGGGAAGTATCTCCAGACATCTCCGCCAGGCACGGGAACTCATTGAAGGGCCCAGTGCTAAGGATGGACGTTACTGCTTATTTCTGGACAGAGCCAACCTAAGGTTTCTGGTGGGACTGTTGTCTGGCCATAACACGTTAAGGCTTCACCTGCACGTGATGGGGGTGGCTGAGGATCTCTTGTGTGAGCGCTGCGGGGTTAGAGGAAGAGACCTCGGCGCACGTTCTGTGTCGCTGTAAAGCTCTGAACTACTATAGGCAGACTATACTGGGGTCCTTTACTTTGGACCCTCAGAACGCAAGGAGCTTGGACTCAAGGCCATACTCAACTTCGCTAAAAAGGCGAGGCTTGTGATCTAAGGAATGTAGAGGTGCATAAGGGCCCATTTAAGCGGCCTATCCATTGGCTCCTTACGGTGGCCGGAATGCCTCTAATTTAACGATTCATTCATTCAATCCTACAAAAAAACCGAAATTTTTTGAAAAGTGGCAGTTTAATTTCTCAACATAGTCTCCTTTTAGCTCGATAACTTGTTCCAGCCATGCTCCAACTTCCTTAACCCGTCTGAAAGATATGTTGTCTGGAGGTCATTCGACTCAAATTTCTGCCCGGCGAGTGACTTTTTCAAGTTTGGAAACAAAAAGAAGTCGCACGGGTCAAATCTGGAGAATACGGTGGATGGGGCAGCAGTTTGTAGGCTAATTCGACCAATTTGGCCGTGGTGGAAGAGCACTTTTTTCTCCGCTAAACGGCACCGTTTTTTCTGCATTTCGACGTCGAACCGGCTCAGTCATTCGGCATAGAGCCCTGTGACCGTTTTGCCCTTCTCCAGGTAGTCGATCTAGATCACACCTTGTGAGTCGCAGAAAACGGTAGCCATCACCTTTCCGGCCGTTAGGACAGTCTTCGCCTTCTTTGGAGCACGTTCGCCGGGTTCGCCACTGTTTCAACTATTCCTTGGTCTCTGGTGTATACCAAACACTGCTCTGAAGCGGTCTCATGGTTGCGCTTGTTGTACGGAGTGAGCTAATACGACACCTGTCGCGCAGACAGCTTTCTCATGCCCAATATTTCATGCAGGATATGACCCACGCGGACGTTTGTGTTGATTACTGTCTCAGCTATCATTAGCTATCTCGCACACCTTCAATCGGCGGTTTGCCATTGCGAGTTGGTTGATTTTTGTCACGGTATCCTACTTGAAAGCCGCTTTCGGGACACCTGGGCGTGGCTCATCAAAAATCGACGCGCGACCATGTTGAAACTCGTTAAACTAATTTTTGACGGTCGCCAGCGAGGGAGAAGAGTCACCATACACAGAATCCAAGCGCTCTTTGATTTCGCTACGCGATTTCTCTTCCAAAAACAGGAATCAAACCACCGACCGATATTGCTCTTTTTCCGCGGACACGCCCGCTTCCACATGCAGTCAAAATAAAACTACGAGTCCGATTTGGCTGAAATTTTGACAGTAGCTGTTTACGAGAATGTAGTACAGCTACGCGATAGTACCGGGTGCGCCAGAGAAACTTACTTATTTGAAAAAATTCCCGCGCGGTGAGCTGGGCGGGTAGAGGGGCGAGAGGCGGCGCATCTGGAGGGGGAAGTTCCCAAGTTTATTTCTCGCTCCAGTCAGTTGCCATCATGCTGTGGTCTAGAGAACAGCGGGCCTTCGCAGTCGAGAGCTTCTTTTCTAACGGTCGCTCAGTTGTTGCTACGCAACGTGCCTTCCGCGCTCGCTTTGAAATTCCTCCTCACAGACTCGTTCCTGGCCGTAATTCGATTCTGTCGTGGGTTGACTCATTTCGGGAGTGTGGAAGTGTCGCTAAACCCAGAAATGGACTTCAACGGACCATCAGAACTCCGGAAAATGTCGAAAGAGTGAGGCAGTCAGTTGTGCGTTCTCCCCGGCGTTCGGCTCGCAAACACGCAGCTGCTATGGGAATTTCTGACACTACTGTTCGACGAATTCTCCATGAAGACCTCCATTTTCATCCCTATAAATTGGCTGTTGTTCAAGAATTAACTGAAAGCGATTTTGTTGCCCGTCAAAATGCATGTGAAATGCTGGTTGACAACCTGCCTGAAGAGGCGGTCGTTTTTTTCAGTGACGAGGCTCACTTCCACATTTCCGGCTGCGTCAACAAGCAAAACATGCGTTATTGGTCTGGTGTGAATCCACGTGAGCTTCACCAGAAGCCACTTAACTGTGAGCGAGTTACAGTCTGGTGTGCGATGTCGGTAATGGGAATAATTGGTCCTTATTTTTTTGAAGAAAACGGACGCGCAGTTACCGTGAATGGAGCGCGTTACAGGAACATGATCGAGGAATTTTTTCTTCCGAGACTCGAAGAAATGAACGTTAGGAACGTGTGGTTTCAGCAAGATGGAGCCACAGCACACACCGCACGAGACTCGATGAATTTGTTGCGACAACATTTCCCCGACCGCCTCATCTCTCTCAGAGGCGATCTCCAATGGCCGGCACGATCTCCAGATTTGACTCCCTGCGATTTCTTTTTATGGGGTTATTTGAAATCTCTGGTTTATGTCGATCGACCACGGACCATAGCACACCTCAAGAACAACATTCGCGACGCCATTGCCAACATACCGATTGATATGCTGCAAAGAGTGGATACGAATTTCAAAAATCGACTTCATCAGTGTATGCGCAATGGAGGTCGCCATTTATCCGATGTCATTTTCAAGACTACATGAAAAAAAAATTGGGATATTGTATTCTCGAATAAAAAAAAAATAAAACAATAATTGAAGTAATTTTGTTTTTATTGACCTTTCAAATAAGTAAGTTTCTCTGGCGCACCCTTTAGACTAGTAATTATCGGACCGTATACCAGATTGCATAGGCGGCTAGACGCAAACTGTTTCGAACACGTGGGTAAATGACGCACAAACTTTAACTTGTTTGCCAAACTAATGAAAATAAGTATGATGATAAATCATATATATTTTGAATCAGAAAAAACGGACTATTGTTATTTCTGAAAATATACTAGGAGTTCCAATAAGAAAAAATACTAACTTATATCCGATAGCACTTTTCTGAGACAAAAGGAAACAACAAAATATTACATGAAAAACTTCATATTAAATCTTATAACTTTCATGTACAACTTTTCTTCTGGAAAGTCATTTAAAAAAGTTAGAGGGGGTCAATTTATAGCCAAACACTCGAACCAGTAAATCGGCCTTCCGTCCGACTCAAGGGCTGAAAGTACATATAAACGGTACTCAAGTTTCGTCTTGTAGAAAATAAGTAATATATGGCAGCCCTGTGATCTTGGACTATGACCCTAGTGGTCAACGCACTATGACCCTAGTAGTCCACGCTACCTAAAAAACAGTTTGCAAAATGTGTATCACTTTTAATTTCGCTTTTTATTTTAATTTATTTCATATACAATGACCATAATCTAGTCGTAGCTGTAGTAGTATATAACCATAGTCTCCGAAGGCGTCTGCTGTCTGTTTCTAGCGCCGTTCCACAAGCGCGGCTGGAAGATGTTCTACTGCACGTTGCGCGACCTGGTGCTGTATCTGCACAAGGACGAGAACGGCTTCCGGCGGAACCAGATCGGAGGGGATAACCTCCATAACGCCATTCGGATACACCACGCGTTGGCCACCAAGGCTACGGATTACACCAAGAAGCAGTACGTGTTCCGGTTGCAGACCGCAGATCAAGCGGAGTACCTTTTTCAAACTAGGTAAGAGTTCAGCCTGTAGATTTTGATAGACCGTGTATTACTTATACTAGTTTAGTCATATTGGACGAAAATTTCACTGGTTTTATTGATGCAAGTTGTTCAACGGAGAAATTTAAAACATGGTTGCATAAAATGCAAATTCTTTTTATCATATTTATCAATGACATTTATGACGTTTTTGATTGCAAATATCTCTTATATGCCGATGATCTTAAAATTTATACTCAGGTTAGCAACAGCACCGACTGCGAACGTCTCAAGATAATCTCAACAGAATAATTTGGTGCGATAATAATAACCTATCCATGAATGCGTCCGTGTACCAGCATGACGTATTCCAGAAAACAACGCTCCATAGAATATCATTATAAGGTTAATCAAACAACGCTGCGGAATCTAAGAGAATTCAAAAATCTTGGAGTCACCTTTGACACAACCCTCAGTTTCAATCCGCATATAAATCACCTTCTGAATTCTGTAAATAAAAGTCTGGGTTTTGTATTGCGCAACTCTCGTGATTTTGACAGCATAAATGCTCTACTCATGCTGTATAATTCATTTGTAATGTCAAAACTTGAATACGCTAGAATTATTTGGAATGCCTGCTATGTGAGGACTTGTGACTCAATAAAAAAAATACAACGCAAGTTTCTGAAATATCTGTCCTACAGGATAGATGGTATCTATCCAGAAATAGGTGTTCCTCAAGATGTATTATTAAGCTAAGCTTAGACCACAGAAGTAAAATGCACTCACTAATATTCTTATTCAAGGTTATTCACAACCAATATATATGATTGTCCAGATATTCTAAGTCGCCTGTCATTTAATATACCAAGATGTCTCACCAGAAATATCCTAACGTTTTATTTACCAACCCGCAGGACCAACTTACTGCTGCATTCTCCCCTATATTCCATGTGTACCTGTTTAAACAATCTACAAAACAGAAATGATATATTTAATACAAAAGTGACCTCTATTAAGATCCTCTTCAAATCTGTTATATAATGTATGGCAACCGAAGTTAAAAAGTAGGCTACTAAATTAGTATTCACTGTAAATACCTCAAAATATCGGAGAAAAGCCAAAAATATTTAAAACCAGAGGTGTTCAAGTTAAGAGCAGGAAGAGGTACGTCCGTGGACCTGTTGGCGATAGTTTCCAGAGCCGTGGGAGTAATCTTCAGCCATTTTACCATATATTCCATTTTGTCATTTGGACATTTCGTCAATTGTGTCAAATCAAATTAAGAAACTAGTCTACAGAGTGTATAGGGTAATCGGGGAATAGCCGCTGGAATAAGGGAACATGAGTAGGACTGTGCGAAAGAAGAATAAAAACATGAAAGATCCTGAAGATGGGGATAATGTAGAAAAATACAGTGATAACAACGAAGAACTGTCGGACGGAAAAGAACGATGGTCTTGCCCAGCCTGTTGTAAACAGGGACGAGTTACCCGAAGCGGATCCACATGCGGTGCTCGTTCAGAAACCACTGCTCCATTACAACCAGATCAGTCTACCCCTACAGACACTCTCACCCTTATACTTAACCAATTATCAACTATGGCCAGTGACATAAAGGATATTAAGAACTCTCAATCTCAACTCAGAACTGATATTGCTTATTGTAGAAACTTGCTACAGCAACATTCGGACTCGATCTCTCGGCATGATGACTTAATAGCGGCCTGCGAAACCAACATACAAAATATCCAGGTTACTCAAACAGAGCTGTCTTCTAACATTGCTAATATTGAATCGAGACTTGCAAGATCTATGGAGATGATGCACTCAGGCAACGGCGCTTCTTCTACCCATATTGCCCCAAGCTCCCAAGCTGAGACAATGGAGTTATTTAGACGTTCCCACAATATCATTCTGAGGGGCATAGCTGAAGGTAACGATGACATAAACATAGTATCAGAGATAATTAGGCATATTGAACCATCTGCCGAAAATCACCGACTCAGCATCACTCGCCTTGGCAGAACAACTTCAAGCAATCGTTTAATTAGAGTTGTGTTTTCCTCACCTATTATCGTCAGCAATATTTTGCGGAAGAAAAACTCCATCCTTAGCCACCCTACGCTTCGTCACGTAAAAATCTCTGACGACAAAACCAGAGGTCAAATGCAAGAACTACAACACCTTCGCGAAGAGCTTAGACGTCGTCAAACAACAGGCGAAAGTAATATTACTATAAAATACGTTCGTGGTAAACCTTCTATAGTGCACACAGCTACCCAGGAGATCACACCTTCAAAAAACTGATAAATTCTGTGGCAAACTGGACGGTTTGTTACACTAATATACAATCTCTCTTTTCTAAGCTACTTGAACTCCAAGCATTTGTTCGAGACAATAATCCAACGTTCGTTTGTCTTACTGAAACATGGCTCCATTCCAACGTGTCCGACTCTTCCATCAATTTGCCTGGATACTATTTATACAGAATGGATTCACCACGCACTCCTGGTTTTGGTGGAGTATGCATTTATGTTCGCACGGAAATCGCGTCGGCTTTCTCGGTATCTCCCTCTTTCAGTCCTTTCGATGGCATTGACAATCTATTTTTGGAATTGAGGTGCCCAAATTTCAGCTTCACGATAGGCTGCATATATCGGCCACGGCCCTGTTTGGGAGACACACACCTGTGCAGTCTCATTTCAGATCTCTTAAATAAAAACACCAACCTTTTCATAGCTGGTGACTTCAATCTACGTGACATTAGCTGGCCTATGTCAACCATTCCTGAATGCAATTCTTCTTCTGCTGCTTACATCGACTTGCTACGCAACTCTAGCATATCTCAACTTGTTGATCGTCCAACGAGATTCAGGGAAGGACAGACGCCTAGGGCTCTGGATTTGATATTCGTTAACGACGCAGACTTTGTTTCTAATTTAGATTATTTGCCACCTTTTGGCAAGTCTGACCATTGTTCACTTTTATCTTCTCTCCAGTTCAATATAAATAGTCGTTCTACAACCGATAAGTTTAAAACCATCAAAATTGTAAACCACGATGCTCTTAACCAAGCCCTGTCTGAAGTCAACTGGCTTGCTTTGCTTAACAACCGTAGCACCCAAGATATGTGGGACACTTTCGCTCAACGAGTCCTAAGCGAAACGGCTGACAATACTGTTGAAAAGAAGGTATACTGTGACCCCTCAAAGCCCTGGATCAACTCTAACATATCGAGGATGCTTCGTCACAAGAGATCTTTGTGGCAACGGTTTAGGAGGAGTGGCCATTCACAAGATTACGTGTCTCATCGATCCTTTTCTAACCTCCTATCTAGAACGTTACATAATGCCAAACATGCTTATGAACGAAAACTCGTTACCTCCAAAAATAAGAAGAAGCTGTTTCGGTATCTAAGAACAAACCTGAATTCCAAAGTTTCATCACCTCAGATCCGCGACGCTGACGGTCATCTCCACATGGATGCCACCGAATCTGCCAACTTACTGGCAGAGTCCTTTAGTGATGACTTCGTCGATGAGCCTAATGGAGACCTTCTACCGACCACTATCTGCCATAGGTGTCCCAACAGCCTTTGCGAAGTTGAGTTCCTGCCTGAAGATGTATTAATGCACCTGCGAAATCTGAAGACCTCTTCCTCCCCTGGTAAAGATGGGATGACGGCTGCTGTACTTAAAAACTGCGCTTCAGCACTGGCCCTACCATTAAGCTTGATATTCACATCGTCTTTTAGATCTCATACCCTACCCTCATGCTGGCTTAGTGCTTCTGTTACTCCTGTATTCAAAAAGGGCGACAAATCCTCCGCTAAAAATTATCGACCAATAAGTCTCGTTCCTATCGCCGCCAAAATAGCTGAAAGAATCATATTAGATAAGCTCCAGTCATTTGCTTTCGAAAATGACCTTATCCCTAAGAATCAGCATGGATTCCTCCCTGGTCGATCAATAATGACCAACCTTCTCCACTCTCTCAACGATTGGACTCAGTATCTGGACACCAAGACTCCTGTTGATATAATCTACTTAGATTTTTCTAGGGCTTTCGATCGCGTACCACATAGAAGGCTTCTGTTTAAGTTGGAATGTATGGGAATAAGAGGCGAGTTGTTACTGTGGATTAAGGCTTTTCTCACCGGGAGGACTTTCTCTGTGCGCGTCAGTGATAGCCAGTCTCACCCTCATCATGTAGCAAGTGGAGTTCCTCAAGGCTCTGTCTTGGGGCCAGTGCTGTTCCTTCTGTATACCAGTGACCTGCCCGCATTGATTTCCTCCACATGTTCAGCTTATGCCGACGACACCAAGATTTACAATACTGTCGTAAATTCTGCTATGCTTCAACGAGATCTTGATACTGTTTGTCAATGGTCAGTCAGTTGGCTTTTACCCTTAAATCTAACCAAGTGTTGTGTCCTTCACCTCGGGAAGACAAATCCGCGATTTACATACAAGATCTCTGACCACAACATCGAAGCAGTTTCGAGCCACACTGATCTGGGCGTTGTAGTCAACGATCGTCTTTCCTGGTCAGAGCATATTCACCACGTTACATCAAAAGCCAAGAAACTTCTATATATGCTGGAGAGGTCTTTCAAAGGATCCGATGTCAAAACTTGCGCCTACATTTACAAGGCATTCGTGAGGCCAATTCTTGAATTCGCTGGCCCGGTATGGGACACTGTGCTTCTGCGCGATAGAAATCTCGTCGAATCAGTACAGCGTCGGGCTACTCGTATCCCTTTTGGAGCACGAAGACCAAGCTATGAAGATCGCCTTGAATTATTCAACCTGACCTCATTCTCTGAGCGAAGACTTCGTGGCGATCTTATAGTTACGTTCAGAATACTTCATGGTTTGATGGGCACCAACCTCATGCATCTATACCATCTGTCGCGCAGCAATCTACGCGGACACAGCTTCAAACTGCATAAGGAGCCATTTAAAACAACAGTCCGACAGTGGTTTCTTCCCAACCGCATACTCAACACCTGGAATAGCTTACCTGAAAGT